GCATTGTGTTGCATCTCAAAAAGAGCTCTCTCTATATATATATATATATATATATATATATATATATATTATTGCTAACAACTGTTTGCAGGAAACTTGTGCTTCATCTTAGGTTATATCTTGCTGGAAAACCCATTTTCAACCACATTATGCCTGCAAATTCATAGGAATTTGTGAGTTTGTTCCAACTTTTTTCTTTACATCTAGAAATACTGCCAAAAGGTTGGGAAGTATTCTATAAAAAAGGAAAATAGTTGTTAGGTATTTTCATGTATCGTTGGAATGATTTTTAATGGGTGCATGCTTGCTGGAAATTCCTTTTGGATTGCTTAGAAGAGTTTATCAATAACTGCAATTGATTTTTGGTTGAAGATTCTCTTTAGTAGATTACAAGCTTAGGGATATATGTACATCCTCTTGAGTTCCAAAGAATTTACAACAACTCGTTGTGGGTATTTTAATAAGAATAACATGCCATATGTTTGTTGATATTTCTGATTGAGTTCAAAACCCATCTTACATATTGATATAGCTCTATTTACTTTAGAAAATCATAAAGATCTACTGTATTTGGGCTAACAGCCCATAGTTTAATAAATGCTAAAATTGGTCCTTAACTTTGAAGTTTCGTAGCCCGGCGAGTTGGGCCCCGACTAGGGAATTCCAGTGGCCCAGTAGGGCAACGGCACCAACCCAACATCTAATTGATTGGACGGGTCCAATCCAGCCCGTATTCTTTTTTTTTTTTATGAGTATGTATATTATGTTCTTTCAAGAGCATATTATATACCTATTCCTTCTGGCAAAACACTTATTTGGAAGACTTTTTTTTATTTGAAATTTTGGGATCCATCTAATTACAACTAAAAGATTATCTCCAAAGGGAAAAAAATAGATTTTTAGTTCAAGATTATTTCCAAAAGAAAAAAGATAGATTTTTAGTGCTTGAACTTAAAGATCATTCCCTCAAAAAACTGGATGGTTTAGTGCAATCTTGGGATGTCAATAGTTTTTGGAACATAGAGAGTGAGAATGATTTTTTTTTTTTTGCCCCGTTTAAGGTTGGTTGCCGGGTTCTCTAGATCACATCCCCAAAATTTGAGATCTAAAAGACATTCTTAATATAAGTTTTGGCCAAGGGAAGAGATAGATAGTATACTTCCATGGGAATAGGAATCTTTTTGCTTTTAAAAAATAAGTCGCCCTTAAAATTTAATGCAAATATAAATATAAATGATTTTTGGTCTTTCTCTTTTGTCAAAAGTTTTTTTTTTGGATTATATACTATGAGACCATTTATCTTTAGTACAAGGAGGTCACAATTACTACTAGACATTAGATGTCAAATTAGATGGCTTAGGGTGTGCCACAAAGTTCGAGATTGAACTTTTCGTCTAGTCATGAACACACTTACAACCTCCCGATTTGAAATATGATGGATGAGAGTAATTGTGACCTCCTTATATTAAAAGAAATTGATATCTTATATCCTTTGTTAAAATTGTTAAAGTATATTTTCTAGAAAGTATATTAATTTTTATGTTATTTTATCATGAGTGATGTAGTAAGGTTGCACTTGGTAGTTTGTATAGTAGGAAGTTGTAAAACTACTAGGTGGTTAGTAGTTATTGTTATAAGTGGGTAGTTATTATGGAAATATGGTTATAAAAACCTCTATTTAAAGAGATGTGTGTGGTGAGAAAATTGGGACACATGTTTAAGGTTAATCTTGGGTATCAAGATTGTAATGCCTTTATGTACCCCATGTTTTTCTTTAATGAAGTTTTTTTTCCATTTCATCTTGGTTCTTCTTCTTCTTTCAATTTGCTTGTGAATCTTGGGCTAGTGTGGCATTGTCACACTAATTGAGAAGCAGATTGTTCCGGTGTTGTGGAATCTGTCTTTCTCTACATTCTTTTTCTACATTTTTTTATAAAGAGAAATCACTTCTGACTTATTTTTCCATGAAGAGAAATCCCTCGTGGGATATATGCACAAGATAGAGTGATCCGAGTGTCAATACAATAATATTTATCTTTCAGCTAAGAATAAGTTAAGAAAAATGAATAAACAGTAAAAAAAAGAGTAAAGGAAAACAAAATTGCGGCCAGGTTGCACCAACGGGGACCCAATTTCTTGGTCGGGTTGAGCCTAACACAAATTCTTCAGCCTAGTTTGGTGCGAGATTAAGATTCAGGCCATGCTCATCCGGTCCAATTATCTAATCTAATGGGCACAGACGTAGCGCAAACCTGGTCGGTCCCGATCCCAGTT